GAAAGTTGCATCATATCCTTTTACGACCTTGAAACCACATGTTGGTATGGTTCATTACGAAGACTTTGAGCAGGTTGGAGGTAACCTTACATTCACTTCCCTTGAAAAGCATGACATATGGCTGTTTGAAACTAGGACTGGGGGGAAAAACATGTGTGTGACTGATTACATTTGCTATTCTCCCAAAGTCCTAATACGCATTGCTCTTTTCTGATTGATGATTTGAAAGATTTTAGTTGCTGATATCCCAGGATTAATTGAGGATGCACATAAAAATGAGGGTCTAGGCATATCATTCCTGAGACATATCGAACGGTGCAGGTAAATAATTATAGTCAAGAGATTTAGCAAGTGATATCCCATGTTTTGTCCATTCCTCTCTATCCAATCAATAACCTCATATTATCTGGTCTGATGATGATGGCAGTTCTTGATTACTGACCAGTAGTTGAATTGTGACGAGGGATTGTCACTTACAAAATATTTTACAATCCTTCAAGGACTTCTTTCAGATGCTTCTTCTACGTCATAGATTTCACCTTGAATGAATACAAAGAGCAATTGGATGCTCTCCAATTTGAATTGGAGCAATACAGAAAGGGATTGGTTAACCGACCAAGTTGTGTTGTAATCAATAAGATAGATCTCGATCAGAATAATGTACTTAGTCATCTACTTCAACGGTTCAGAAGATTCTTCATTTCAGATTGACAGGAGTGTCGTGGAAAAGATGTTTCCCGGTCTCCCATGTTTCTTCGTATCCGCCAAATATGGAGAAGGTTTAACGGAATTATTAACATATCTGCGTAGCATTCATGATTTGGAAACCAAATAAATAATTTTTTCAATCTCTTTGCTAAGTGTGAAAGACTTTGAGAAGATGTCGACGAATTTCAATCGCACATCTTCATCATTTGCAACATGTCGTCATGTCATGGAAACACACGAAAGAGAAATCTATTACCGTCCACAGATTTCTTTTGTTGTGCGAGCAGGTGATGGATTTCTTTTCAACTTGTTCCTGTTGTTTCTTTGGCTTTTTTCGAATTTTAATTTCTCTTTTTCCACAATGTGATATTAATTAAAGATTTCATCATATGAAACAGAGAGATTCAGATATTCGATGTCGACTGCATGTATAGTTAGAAATCTCATTAATCTGCTAAAGCACATTTTGTCTACAAAGGATATGTTTTGTTCCGAATAAGCGGAACGACTCCGGTAATTGTATCCGATTGAGTAATTGTCATCAAAACGATATTGATGCAATGGGAGCATTATCTGCTCACATTAAAGATTCCGCTCTCCCTCGATCGGTAACAGTAACCATTACAGATCACAATTATCTTCAAAGCTAATCCATAACCCCCCCCCCTCTCTTCTATCTATAGCTTCAACAGTTGGACCTGATTGAAAAATATGAGAATTGCTTCGTTTTCCGTCCGTTACTGATTTATAGAAGCAGATTGACAGACTGATCGAGCTTCATCATGCCATGACGCCTAGCTAATTTATAAAGAAAATATAGTGCGACCTCCCTTTTTCTCATTTATTTCTTCTGCTCCTCCATTTATATTTTCCTATCCCCCGTCCTGACAGTTTTTGTGAGTAGTTTGATGTGAACCTACACGAGACGAACTGTCGCCGCTTCTCTAATTTGCATATGCTCTGAGGTCGGCCTTACTTGGCTATGAGCTGTACTGAAGATAGATTAGCATGTTTTCTAGAAGCGTATAGAGAATTATCGAGGTCAATCTGTCTCCTATGCTTCTTTAATGTTTTCTCTCTTCATCTTCTCTATTCCACTTTCTTGCTCAATCCCCTTCATCTAACTTTCTTCTCCAGCCAATACTAAGGCGAAGCATCGTAACACAGATTCGATACAAGTTTGTCCCGAACATGACCTTTCGAAAAGCTCTTGGTTCAGGTTAGATGAAATTCCGATTAAGAACATCCAAAAAACAGTCAAATCATGCTAATGTCTTTAGAGGGTTGTAAACGTCAGGATTTGATGACTTGTCATGATAAGACTGTCTTCCCTCATCTTTCTCGGCTAATCATTCGTTGATTATCATCGAGTGTCCGA